TTTGCTTGAAGATAGTGATTTCTTGCTACCTGATTTTGACTTTTTAGGTTTGCCATATACTACTACAGGCATGTGGCATTCATTCTTTATAACCAGAGATGACCACTTAAAGATACTTGGAGATCAAAGGGGGAAGGAGTTTTGGCTTGGTAGTCTGATGTGGCACCTTGTGTTACTGTTGGCCTTGGCTATTTGAGGACCATATGAGCAACAGTGAATGTCTGCAGAAAAAATCCTGATGCTTTAACCCTAGATTCAAAGGAATATTTGAGGAAGGGTTGGGTGGTTTGTGTGGCTTAGTAGTGTCCTGTGCATTCCAGTGCTCTGTTCCTGTCCAGTCTCCCCCTGTTAGTCTGCAGCTGGACTGCAGGGCTGCATTGCTCTGGTGACTCTGACCAGTAGAGACTGTCCCCACGCCACCTCCAGTGCACTTGAAAAGCCAAGTGCTATGTGCCGCTGCACTTCAGGATTACTAATCCGTTTGCATTTGGAAGGGGAACACAGTACTGAAAGAGATAATTATTGTGTTATTGCACTTTAGAACAATTCCATCTTTACCCCAACACCAACCAGTTAAGTATTTTATAGTTATTGGAGTGTGCATCCATGGAGAGAATCACTTTTTTGCCTTCTAGAAAAATGTTTAATAAAAGACGCCTTTGGATTTTCTGTTTTGTTGGTATTTCATAATATTAGAATGACTGGTAAGAACTGTGTGGTTTGTGTACTTATTTCTCTAATGCAGTGAAGTTCCTGAAGACTGTTGTTCACTGGCTTCTTGGAATCAGAACTTGTCTTCTCTGTAGGAGTAATAGCTTGATCCTGATGTAGTTAACATGCTTGTAACTTCATGACACTTTATCTGAATAAATTTGCATATAAAGTCTCTGATTCAGCAACCTGTCACCGTAAAGAAGAGCACATAAGGTAGTGTTTAAGTTCTTTGTTTTGACACAGGATTAATTCCCAGGTTTGAACTCATGCACTCAGCAGACCGATCAGTTTAATTTAAATGACGTATGTGAATCTAAAGATTAGAGTTCCGAATTTTGGTGTATAGCCATTGGCTGAAAATGTGCTTCATGAAGTTTTAGCTTCCAGTATTTTTGTTAAAGACAATTAAAATCTGCAATCAATTTGCAAGTGAGAAAATATTGGCCTCGTCCAGATATGAACTTGAAATTGTTCCCTGGCACAGAATCACAGTACATTGGGTGGTTAGATGAGCGCACTTTGTGTAGCTGTGCTCTCCGAACAGTAGAAAGGCAACAGGAACTGAATTGAACTGGAAAAAAACCCCAAAGTTACTGTGTTTGAATTAAGTATATAAGGTGTAAAAGTGCAGTCACATATAGGGTAATAGCGGTGGAGACAAAGTAAACCCCTCTCGTTGAATTTTTTAGCCATCCAGATGCTTGAAAATACTTTGTTCTTCATTCCAGCCCATCTGTTATTCCTTATTATAACTGACATCACCGCAGCTACCACAACTGTTAAAGAATCACCATATAAAAATGGCAAAACTTATATATAAAACCAGCAAAACTTAGCACTTGTTACATAGTTTTATGGAAAGAAAACTGCAGGAATCAAACTTTATAGTTTGTTGAAAGATTTTTCCTGTGTCTGTACAGTAGTACTGTAAGAGAAGCAATGCCAGTTATGACAGTTATATTTTTTATCTGAGAAGTTAATGCATTCTAGAGTATATCTACTTCAACATAATTGCATTTTAAAGAAATGTTCTTAAGAAAAAGATTGCATTTGTTTTTATCACTAGATTGCCCCTGGATTGTCAAGAGATGGCAGTACAAAGTATTACCCTTTTTAAAGGTCTTTTGAAGACATAATTTTAATGTGTGTAGCTTATCCACAAAAAGGATTGTATTTCTTTTACCTCGGTAGGATTCTGATCCTGCAGAAGACATAGATGTGCCAGATGCCATGGCCAGCATACACTGTGATTGGTGACTGAGCTTTCTAGCAAGTTAGCTTTGAGTGGTATTTACTGTATGACATTCAGTACATGCCCATATTGCCAGTTCTCCTAATTTTATTGCATGTCACTTATTTGCTTTTTCAAAAGCCTACGTTTTCTGGTCATACGCTTTTGTAAGAGGTTCAGCTTACTTTAGGATAAGACTTTAAATATTCCTACCCTCATGGTTCTAGAGAAAGCCTTAAAAGTGGGAATTCTGACTGCTCAGGAACAAGAAGGTAAGTCACTCCTCCTGGTGTATTTAAAATACAATACTTGCTTTTGGGCAAATAACATGGGATTTTTTGGCTAACCCTCAATTTCTTTTCCAAGTGCTTTTCCAAGTTGTGACACAGTAGAATCTAACAGTACCAGGTTCTGAACTCAGTCTTGGAGTTGGGTGTTGCGCAGTAGGGTGGAGTTTATGGATGTATCGTGACGCTGTGCCCGTGGAAGTGCTGGGCATCTTGTTTGAAAAACAGTTACTATGAACCGTCTTCAGGTTGTAGATTTTTGAAGGTCTTCCCATGAAAGACATTTTTTTGTATGAGGACTGTAGGGAGAGGTGCTCGGAAGACCTTGCGTTGTACGGGAGGAATAGGGAACCAGTCAAACATGCCAACGAAGAACGTTACCAGAACACACCATGCCTAAGGCGGATCCCTTTAAGGAGCATGTATCAGGCAATTGCACAGCTAGCGAGTTGAACAAGCAGCAACCATCACATTGGTGTCTGTGCTTTTGCTCCCTCAAAGGTTTTAACCTCCTGCAAGGGTTAGCTGTGATGTGAGCGCCGTATTTCTGTGGATTGGCAGGTAGAAAAAGACAGCTAATGCCTTACCACAACGAATGGTGACCCCGACGAGATGGCAGCGGTGATTTCGGTGTGCGGACCGGTGGCGGTCGGCAGCACACGGCAGGAGGTGACGGAGCTCCCCGCAGGACGGGAGACTCCACGGCGCGCCATGGAGGCCACAGTCACAGTAATAAAAATATGGGGAAGACAGCGTAAGACTTCTGTGAAGTCGAGCGCTTCAGAATCTATGCCACAAAGATTATTAAAGCTCAGCATTTTGGCCGAGCCGATGGATTGCGGGAAGTCAGAGCTCCGGCCTCTAATGGAAGCTGATGGAACAGAGCAGGCAACATCGGGAAATCCAGAGCACTTGCTGCCTTGGGATAAGGCAAATGCATTGCGGAAAGCGCCCAAGCCGCACAGCATGCATCTAAGGATGCACAGAGGGGACTGCAACGCTTCTCAGAGGAGACTACTCAGACGGGGGAGTCCGCGGGGCCCAGCAGTGGTCGGGGCGCGCAGGATGGAGATGGCAACGGCGGCCCGGGGCCTCCCCGAGCCCCCCCACACCGCGGGGCAGCTGCCTGCGGATGAGCCCGGCACCGCGCTCGGCCCGGCCCCCCGCGACAGAA